CTATTTAAATTTAATGAACTGAAACCAGATCCCAAATTAGGATGTTATTTAAGCCATAGAATTTACAAACTCTAAGCAATAAATGCAAATTGGAGTATTACAAATATATTTAATAGAGTGAGTCCAATCATCTCACATTTACAGGGCCTTCTTGAATTCTCAGAAGATGGCACATCAATATAACACACACACACACATCAACACACACGCACACACACACACCCCAATACAATCCCTGTATGTGAGATGTTATGCATTTGTTTTGGATCCACAGGATAAAAGAAAATCTTGTAAACCAGTAATATGTACATTTATATCATGATTTCAAATGGACAATAGACTGTATATTAGTTCAGTAGGTGTGTAAACAATGAATCCCACCCATGAATTTAATTTATGGGGGTTACCTGGGTGTTTAATTGAAGTCACCCAACTCAGCCAATTCTTGTAGTTCTGAACTCCACACCTTCAAATATTGTCCAATTAATTCCAATGAAATTTGGCATTCTATATTCATAAGCAATAGATATTTGAAGAATTCTGCTCCATTAAAGATACTTGTATGGGTTAGAAATTATGTTTGAATCTGCCCAAATGAGGGGTAACTGCTATTGCTATTACTGGAAAATCTGTGTACATAAAGAATTGCAATTGGGGAAAAAAACCTCCCCAGATTTTATTTAAAAGTCAAACTGCAAAATGAACCAATTGGTTGAAATAGTTCCTTTGATCAAGGTGATGGTAAACTATTTCCATTATGTACTGTTGCTCTGATGAATGGGTTTCAAAAATTACAGGCTTCAGATTTACCCCAGAGGAGGTCTTACTTTTTAATGTGAACCACAGAACGAAGTATATGAGTTAAAAACACAGTCAAGGGATGGGATTAGAAACAAACTGATATTTCCATTCCTCTCTTTTTTTCCTTAGAAAAAGGAACTGTTAAAAACAGGCTCAGGATCAGGGACTACTATGTTAGTAATAAAAAAAAAATACATATAAAGCACCCGAACTTTAATGTAAATGCTTTCTTCTGCCTTTAGTAATTTTGAAAATCTTAGTTCCATTCATTGCAAAAAGGTTAAGGATTAAGTTCCATTTGACTCTTTCAAAGTCAATTTATTTTTGACAGAATTTAATAAAGTCAGGGTTTTCTCAAGAAGAATAACAATTCTGCTCATGGAGGAAAATGTATGCCTTTTCTTAATTGCCATTTTCACTTTCTGGCAAACAGCACAATTCAGCTGACATGGGTTTTGAGGCAATGCTTCTGCCAAAATGCAGCTAATATTAGCACTGGTATCCAGCCAGCATACAAAACTCATCCCTTATTTTCTTGCTTTATTTATGAGTATATATTTTTTGAAAATAATAACTTGATTTTCATCATAGTTTGAAACACAATTTAATGTTTAATTAATTTGTCTATGAGAAAAAAGCATCATGCTGTTATGCTCCGCTACAAACGATTTTGTGAAGGTTAAAGCGCATGAATCCAGATAACCTTGAGATGGTAGTAAAGATATTTTATATATCCTTACTGCCATCTAGTGGACATTTGTATTTTGCCATCACATTTGATAGCCCCTGGACCAGGGAAACTCGATTTTATTGAGGACCGCATCAGGGTTGTCTTTGACCTCAGGGGGCCAGGATGAGCATGGCTAGCTTGATGTCACTCATGTTGGGAGTGCCTGTGGTGGCCTGAGTCCTCTGCCAGCGAAAACGGGCCCCCAAGCTCTATTTTCGGCTGCAACTGCCTCCTGCAACGCTCTGCCAGCAAAAATGGAGCTCAGGGGGGTCCTCCTGAGCTCTATTTTTGGTGGCAGAGGCACCACAGGCCAGTCCTTGGCTGTTTCCAGGGTGACCCCATGGGCCAGATCTCAGCACCCTGTGGGCCATATCTGGTTCCCGGGCCTTGAGTTTGACACCCCTGGCCTAGACCACTGCAATATTTAATAGGCATTGGATGGTAATTATGAGTTTAGGCAATGAAAATGCCAGATTTTACCATGCCATTGGCATGTTATTCTTTCACCCATTGCTAGTCACCTTTTCCAAAGGCTCCCAGTCATGCTTTTATGGCACATATATTGTATGTATGTATGTGTGTAACCAGATTGGCTTCTACTATGGATAGTATGAGTGAACGGTCATGATGATGAATAGCAATAGTGGTGAGTTAGTAGAGTGTCGTGATATTGGCAGCAGTTTATTGATAGCACATTAGCCCAGTTAAGAATGGTCCATTTTAAACATTTAGACTTTCAGCAACTATTCAGTGATATTGTACTCATTGACGTAGAGTTTGGATTTAGAAATCAGAGTGGGCCCCATTCTAATACTCTTTCAGAAGGCCCTGAAGATGTGGTTCTGCCAGCAAACCAGGGGAACTTAGAACAGAATAGAGCCCATTAAATGGCTGGTATGAATGTGTGTGGTCACTGGGGTGGAGGGTTATTTTATTATTTTTATTTTTTTATTATTTTTATTTCTTTTTTATTGTGCTTTTATGTCCTTGTAAGCTGCTTTGAGTTGCCATGTGCGAGTAAGCAGCAATGTAAATTTTCTAAATAAATAAATGTATACAATAAGGCAGGAAAAACAAGTGCCTTCCGATCTTTATAAAGTTTTTGTGTTAAGCGTCTTGTGGAAACCCAACCTCATTGTTATGGTTTAGAGATCAATGTTAAGTGAGAAAATGCATTCATTCAGTAAGTGTGTTCTGTAAAAGCAGCTATAAAGTTATTTGCATTGTTTTAACCTAGTCAAACTAACATTTTTTTTTTCCTCCCCGGACTCAGGCAGACATTTGTGAACTTCATCAGCAATAAACAAACCTTTCTGAAGGTGACATTTAGAAAATCAAAATTGATTTAACACGCTCCTCCTACTCCATTTAGGAGGATTTTGACCTGAATATTTACAAGAAGCTTTAATCTGTATTCGGTGGTTTATGTGATAAATTATCTACAGCCAGAATTTAATTGTGTTATTGACGATTATACAGTGTTTCCTGTAAGATTAAAAAACAGAATGATCAGTCCATGGGGACAGGAATTGATTTTATTAATAAAATGTATATTATTTTGTCTTTCAGGTGACAGTTAACAAACTTTGGTTTTTGAAAAGGAATTTCAAACAGCAAATTGTTGACTTTGAAATTTCTTTTATACATAATATGCTTGCATGCTTTAAAACAGCTGAAAATGAGCTAGTGGGATCCAGTATCAATTAATTTAAAACAGATTTATATAAGAAATAGTAACCAATATTTTTCAAGTTTTACATATATTATGAGAAATAAGTACAAAAGGATTTGTGTTAAATTAATGTCTATGTTTGACCACCCAGAAAAAAAAAAATCCTCAAAGCCAGGAAAAAATAAGATTACAAATTGCAACTGCTTGAGTTTAAGAAAAAGTCTTAATGGATAGCAATTTTCTCATAGGTTGCTTGGCAACTAGGTAGAATCACATGACCTAGACTTATTTGCCACAATACAGCAAGAAGGCTACCTGAGCAGATTTAAGTTTTTACACTCTTGTATCTTCTGTGCTGGGAGAGCAAATAGATTTAATCAATACAAATCCAGAATCTGAGGTTATAGTGCTGCATTGACTATATCCATCATTTGCAATGTGGTTTTTGCTTAAGTTAGCCAGGAGTACAGTACATAAGTCCTTTCACTTGATCTACCACCATCTTTAACACCACCATGTTTGGTACAATACATGGCAGTGCTATACATATTTTAAATCTGAAACTCTATTCATTTCTTCTTTTTATCCCTGGGCATTACAATATGCCCGAGAGGGTGGGGTGGGGGGAAAAGTCTATCGAACAGGGGCAAGTTCTGAAGTTTCAGAAGTAAACAATGACACTGATGGAATAAAAACTAGACATTAGTTTGACAAATACAGGCACTGCTCATATATAATTTAGCTATACCTAGCAAATGTGCCAGAAAGATCACTGGAATAAGCACAGTTCATAAATAATTGTGCAGAATCTACTTTTAATATCCAGATTGAAAAAAAAAATTCTGAGAGTTTCAATTAGTCATTAATTATAGACTAGTTAGTTATATTACTGGAATTAATTCATTATACTCAAGGGCCCCTTGTGACATTACAGAAAAAGAACTGGCAGCCAGAAACAAGGTAAGTTCACAGCTTATTCTTAAGCTGTGGAAATATTGGAAGATGCATCCATAGACATACTATCCATGCTGCTACTTTTCTGCATATCAGCATTTACTCCAATGCTGAAGGCAACACCTTTAGTGGGGAATGAACCACAGAAATGGTCTCCTTCCATCTGGCTCACAACTTTGCATATTGTCAGAATACAGTACTAAGAACCTGTGCTAGAGCTACAGGGACTTTCCTCACATCTTTTGCACGTTTAACAAGACACATTTTTTCCCATGCCAACATAAAAAATAACCACCACCCAAACACAACTTGCTTATGTCTTGAAATGAGGTATGGCATCCCGTGAGAGTATTTTAATGGGCCCTTGAGATCCTTCTTGGAATTCCTTATTGCAAGATAGTCCTAAGCAGGAAAGGGTGCTTGTTGCTCCTTTGTTTCCAGTTCTGCCTGGACCTGAGGTTTTGTCACTGACTTCAAATAACATAGCTCTAGAGATCAATATATACAAAGAGGGTACATTATAATATTACTAATCAGAAAAATATGGAGTGGGACTTCATTGGAAATTGCAGCTTTATTTTTCATAATACATACACGGTACTGAAATGTAATTTTGAAATTAGGATAATTAGGATAATTTCAGCCAGTTGCAATACAGGGGAACGCATGCAAGTTTTAGAAACAGACACTGGACAGCACGGTACTGTACACAGAATAATTACAGTTTATTAAACATATTTTCTTAGCACCTCTCATGTTGTAAAAAAAAAAAAAAAGGAGCACCATTCAATTTTACAGCACCAAAAAAATAAAAATAAAAGGGAAATTAGGCGAGTGAAGAAGGATAGGACATTCATAAGATGAACTTGCCTGTCGGTGACACAGGGTCATTTCATCATTTGCCAAATAAATTTAAGTCATGTGATTCTGCTCCAAAATGGGCAGTGGGTGTTTTCTAAAGAAGACCTACATGTTTGGTGAAACTCATCATCTATTCCATTCTGAATTAAAACTTACACATGGCACAAGTGAATTGATATGGTGACACCTAGCATATTTTTCTTCTTGAAGATTTGCTCTTTGCTCTAAACTTAACCAAGGAAACAGACTGGACCCACTTCAAAGCCAAACTTCTGATTTTGATCACCAAAGTCATTAATCATCACATCGAAGATAGGCAGTTGGTCAATTTTGGGAGTACTGATTTCCATAACAGTCTTTGCATAGCCTTTTCTTGACTGTAAAACAAAACAACAACATTCAATTAATATCTTGGTTGCTACAGTAAAGATCAGAAAGCTCTTAGATGGACTGTGTTTATTCAAGGAGGTGGTTGTGTAGCCAATGAGACTATAGCAACGGTTGAATTTAAAGAAGGAGTTAATCTCAAAAGTCCACCTAGTAAGTTGGGAAAATTTTTGACTGAGATATTTCTTATGCATTTAAACCGAAATGGCAGTTTGCATCTTGATTGGATTTCCAAAAAAGTAGCAACTTAACAAGGTACTTCAGAGAACAGTCCAGGTGAATATAATTATCTCTATTTATCATCGCCCATTCACTTGTCAGGGTAGTAATGAGGGTTAGATAAAGTGTCAAAAATCATCATCTAGGGAATAATGTATAGAAGATATATCACTTCTAGTCCAAGTCTGAACTAGCTTTTGAGGAATGAGGAAGGAAAGGCTTTGCTTCATATCTAACTATTTTTGCCCACAAGAGAAAAGGAAGGGGTGGTATTGAATAAAGGAAAAAAAATGTCAAGGGTGGTTGGAACAAAAGAAAGGGAAATGGGAAATGATTCTTTTAAATGCAAATTAATTCACAGAATGATAGAATGATAGAATCATGAGTTGGAAAGACCTTGGAGCACTTTTAGACCAACCCCTACCCAGGGCAGACAAATGACTCTCATGGTTGATTAGCTTTTGCTTGAAAAATCTCCTGTGGTGGAACAACCACAACTCCAGCAGTCAGGATGTTCCACTGCTTAATACCTCTCACAGTCAGAAAAGTCCTCCTTGTTTTGTGGAGCTTCATCTCCCTCTATAAAGCTGTTAAAGCTCATTAGTTCTTCTCCTACTCTTGTGGATGAGGAGAATAAACTCATACTCTTATCTCTGTGACATGCCCTCAAATATTTGAATATTGCCAAGGTTCCCTGCCTCCTCTTCTTTAGACTAACCATACCTTCATAGGATTTAAGCTCTAACTTCCTCACCATTTCTATTGATCTTCCCTGCACCCTCTTCCAGTTTCTCAGTTTTCTTGTGTTGAAGGGACTAGAATTGGGGAGAGTATTCTAGGTATAATCTGATCAGTGGAATGCAATGTGGAACTATCATTTTTGATGATCTCAAAAGTATATCCCTGGTAAACCAGCTCAAAACTATTGATTCTGTAATTCCATAAATGCATTGCCTCTTTTGGTAGCTCTAGCACCCTGCTGGCTCTTGCTTAATTTGTGCTCTGCAGGATTCCCAGATCCTTCTCAGAAGTACTAGTACATATTATCAGGGGCCATCTAGTTTGTACCCATGGGTCTGCTTTTTTCCTACCTTGCATTTCTCACTACATATCCAAATTCAATGTTTGGATGTTAAAAAAGCAGTTCCAAGGTAGAAATGAAACTATGTAATACAGTGGAGATTGTAATGAGTGAGTATTTGAGAAACGTCTAAGACATTCTTTAATATCATTCTATAACTATCAGATTCCAGTGCCAATTCAAACAGCAACTCATTGGAAATGAATATATATATATTTTCTTATATATATATTCATTTCCAATGAGTTGCTGTTTGAATCTTTCTTAAGTTTTCGTGGGTACTTACATGTATGGCATTCAGCTTTGTTCGGGTATTTTCCCACATCATTGTAGTTGTGTTTTTAAAGTTGTAGCAACGTTTCGGCAAAATCTCATCTGCCATCATCAGGCTTCTGTACAGCTGTGCTGTACGGCTTCTGTACTTTAAAAATACCCGAACAAAGCTGAATGCCACACACACACACACACACACACACACACACACACACACACACAATATATATATATATATATAAAATACAGAAGCCTGATGATGGCAGATGAGATTCTGCCGAAACGTTGCTACAACTTTAAAAGCACAACTACAATGACGTGGGAAAATACCCAAACAAAGTTGAATACCATACACACACACACACACACACACACTGCTTTTACTTCTATTTTCTGTTTTAAACATGTTATATTAAAGTGTGCAAAGGGATCTTTCATTTGCACTTTTACTGTTATTCATTTCTTGTAGTACATGATAAAGTACAAATGTTTTCCATTTGCTATCTCCAATCTCTACTTTTTCCTCTAGTGATTTCCCTTGTCAATGCATTTACAGATGCCTGCTGTCTGACTGAATTTTTTTCTTTTATTTGCCTTACATTATGGATTACATTCCGCCCCCCTCCCCAGTTCTACAGGGTTATTCTTTAAACAGACTGACGCTGAGAAGAACAAGGTACAAAAATGAAAGAATATGTTTAGAAAGGGCAAGAGAGATATTGAACTGACTTTTAAATTTAAATAGGAAGCTCACCTAAAGCTGGAAAAAAAAAAGTCCAACGGTTATACTTACTGCACAGCCATCATGAAGCACTTTGATGTACGGATTGTTGTCATAAGACATCTCTTCATCATTTGACCCTAAGAACCTCAATGCTTTGTCATAGCTGTCAGAAGAGACGTCATGCCAGGCTACCGACTGATGACAGTTGTAAGTGAAGTTTTGTCGGGCAGAGGCACTTAGCAGTTTAAGGAATGTCATTTGTACCATGCTAATAGAAGTGCCTTCAGCATCCACATAAGAAAGCTAAGGAGGTTTAAAAAAAGAAAGAAAGAAGGCAGGTTTGTAAACAGCTATATATAAACTTGCTCTTCAAAGTGCAAAACAAGATAATATGCAACAGCAAACCATATTAACTGGCCTCTTATAAATCAGCTGACATAAGCCTGTTTGTTGCTCCATTAAGAATGCAGTTAGGCAATGAATCAATAAAGATATTTCCTTTAAGCAAAGTTATATGATTATGCACCCAGTCTGCCTGTTATTATCTGAAGCTGAAAACCATTGCAAGCAATATGTGATAACCTTGTCCAGACAGCATTCTCCCAAGGACACAGTTTTAATTCTTAGTTAAATCTATGCTTGCTTGAGGTATCTCTGCTTTCCCACATGAAGAAGACCAGTCCCAAGTTTTCCTCTATCGAAGGTTCTGAATAGCTTATACTTTATAATAAAGATGATAATTAAGTTTTCTGAGTATGGAAGAGCCCTATGTAGTTCATTACTTAATGAACCTAACAAATAAAAGTGCACTTAGCTATTTCTGCACTATAGGAGCAGAATCTTTGATCTAGATAAGTCTCTAAACTGAGGCAAATCAAGTAACTACCACCACTATATATATGTGGCGTGAACCAGAGATCAGTATGCAGTCTAGTTCCAGGTAGTCCTTGACTTATGACTGATCACTTAGTGATCATCCAACACCGCAATGGACCTATCTTGAGGTACTTAGGACCTAGATTAGAAGTTCGGATGATCAAGGTCTACCCCTGCAGTCACATGACCAAATTTCAAGTGATCAGCAACCATTGGTTTGCTTAACAACCATGGCATTTGCTTAATGACTGCTGCAAAAAAAAGGTCAGAAAATTTATCCGTGATGATCCATTTTTTTTTTACTGTCACACTTTACAACTGATGGGCAGGCTCCATTTCTATCATAAGTCGAGGACTTATGGTGAAGTAAATATTGCTAGAAAAGAGCTCAAAGGCAGTCAGCTGTATAATTAATTTCAGAATGTTATATTAATAAAGGATCCAGCAGAGGACAGAAGAAACAATGCTTTTGTTTATCATGGCACTTGAAAAACAGCCACAGTGGATGGCTGAGTTACTTTGGATGCAAGCTTTACAGTGACATAATTAAGATCTGATGATAAAAATATGTTTCTTCCCGTCACTAAAGCAATGTGACGTTCACCTACAAATTGAACCCTTCGAAAAGAATATATGAGAAAGTTTTCAAGGGATCGGCCCATTTTAACATATATGCTCATGTTAAAGCAGGCTTGTCCAACCCGCGGCCTGTGGGCTGCATGCAGCCCAGGTCAGCTCGTAATGCAGCCCAGTGCCCACCCCAACCTTCATGCAAGAGGACGAGCCAGCGAGGAGGAGGAGAGGCAGGCGCGAGGCGGGGTAAGGTGAGCGCCACGGCAAGCAGCAACAGAAAAGGCGGGCGCCGTCAGAGCACTCCTCGTGCCGAGGCAGCCGCAGCCCAAGAGTCCCACTCCGCCACCTCCTGCTGTTGCCGCCACCACTGCCGCCACCGCTGCTGCCGCCAGAGCTGTTGTAGCGGCTTCTGCCCCCGCCGCCGCCGCTGCTGCACTGAGCCTCCCGGTCCTCGCCTTCCAGTCCTGCTGCATCCAGCTGGGCCATTTGCAGGAGGAGAGGTAGGCGCGAGGCGGGCGAGCTTTCTCCCCCCGCCCCGCATTCCTTTCTCCCTGGTTGACTATTTTTTATGATATCTTATGAAAAAAATGTTTTCTATGGGTTTTTTGGATGATCAGGTATCGTTACTGTTATTTTATTTTATGTGTGGCCCAAACCAAATTTTCATCTTCTAATGTGGCCCAGGGAAGGTGAAAGGTTGGACAAGCCTGTGTTAAAGACTTACGTGAGAGATGGGGAGGAATTCTTTTTGAGTCATATCTGAGTCACTTTTTAAAATTTGCCAGCATTACTTTTTGCTCGGATAAAAGATAAATTAGGGGAAAAAAACCAACTACCAAAAATTGGATCTTTATTATCATAAACATCTGTAGAAATCAGATGGTGCAGATTAACACTGAAAACAAACGAAACTGGCATGACTGCCTGAAGTTAACCAGCAAGTGGTACTGGCTTTCTTACTCAGTCAAAGTATACACTATCCAAAGGCAAGTAAATTATTTTGATACATAAAAATCTTATAAGCATGTTTTCCCATCTGTAAAACTATAATAACTAAATGAAAAAAACTATTTCCCACTCTTTTCTGACAGCTAAAGTTTTCTGTTTGAGGCAATAAATTCACGGTAGCCAATAGAAAATCAGATGGACTAGAAACATGAGGTTTTATTTATTTCTAGTCTAAATGTACAGTAGGTCATTCTTTAAAATCTTAGTGCATGGAAAAAGGTAGTATGTTTTGGACAATATAGCTGTCACACAAAATGTTTTTGAAAGGCAGAAAAGAGGAATTCCCAGCATTTATTCCTCTAATGCAAGGCTGTAAAACTCGCGGCCCACGAACCAGATGCATCACGTGCTGGCCACGCCCATGCCCAGTTTAGTGAAGGGGGGAAAAGTTGTGATATGTCATGTGACAACGCCATGACGGCGCAAGCTTGACACCCCTTCTCTAATGTAAAATGCACCCTGTCTCTAAACATGTGGTCCTTTGTCTAACTTGTCATGGCCCTTTGAAAATGGTCATTTCAAAGTGCTACATTTTATGTTATCTCTCACAGGAAGGAAGGAAGGAAGGAAGGAAGGAAGGAAGGAAGGAAGGAAGGAAAGGAAAGGAGGGAGGGAGGGAGGGGGTATTGATCCCACCCACTAGTTGCTTTAGTTTTACTTTTTATATACTCCCAGTGGATAACTTCTTTGTTATATTGATTTGACTAGAATTAAACTTGATAAATATTTCAAGCCTGATGATTTCTTATCTGCTCTAAGTCCTTGACAAAAGCTACAAATCAGTGGTAACTAAATATTAAATGCAAGAAAGAAAAAAAGAAAAAAAATCAATTTAAATATTCCCAGTTTGTTTCCCGAAACATATTTTACCTTACCTGAGAATTCTGAATCATTTATTCAGAAAATTAAAGGCCTATTTCTGCTCCTGAAGATGCAGGATACCTAGAGTATCTCCATGCTGAAGCTCCCCCCAACAGTCACTACTTGCAGGCAACACATTGTGTGTTGCAAAAAAACAAGCAATATTTATTTCAGGATAACTTTTAGAGGATTTGTGCCTTTCAATTGGCATGCTAATTCTAAAGTAAAAAAAGAAAGGATAATTTACCAGTTTGCCTCTCTTAAATTCACTAAACCAGGTTCCTGGATTTTCCTTTGGCCACGATGAAATCCTAAACTGTGAGGGAGGAAAGAAATCATGAGTGTTAATTATGTTAGCAAGAAATGAATGGGAATTAGCTGAGTTTTACATAAACACTGCTAAATTAATCTCTTTTTTAAAAAATGGAAGAAGAAAAAAGCCTGGGCTTTCTGCCTAGTTCTAATTATATTTAGAGTTGTGCAGAGAAAATCGTATCAAGTTCTCAGATAACATATTAAATAACTAAATACATTAATTGGTTTGTTCCAGCAGATCTGTGGGAAAGGGATTGTGCTCGCAGTCTTTGGCACTGGGTGAGCCCAGATGGCGTTTTACTCTCTTCAAATACTACATTTTGGTATTCTATCAGTTGTTATCTTCTTGTGAGGCACAGAATGGACCATTAACAATGAGCAGAGATGAAGAGATGTCTTTAAAGACCTTTTTATCTCTGCACATTCAGTGTCTGAAAGGGAGACTTTCAGACTTTTTGCAGATTCCTAGGACTTATTCATTGCTCCTGGCTTGTGTATGCTGATAGCTGCTCTGACTTATTTGACAAGAGTTATATAGGTAATCCTCATTTAACGACTGCTTGCTTGGTGACCATTCAAAGTTACCTCCGCAAATCATTTACAAGCCAGTTCTGGAGTTCCAATGGCTGGCCTCCACCCCCAAGGTCACATGACTGCATTTCAGTTGCTTGGCAACTGGGTTACCTTTCTGGCTGATTGCAGGGTTCCGCGGTCAAACAACCATGATTTATTGTATTTTTGCATATTATTTAACTTTTTCAGGTAATTTTTGGCAAAAAACACTCATACAAATACATTGGCATAGCATTCATTTAATGATCATGGTGCTTGCTTAATGATTGCTGCAAAACAAGTCATAAAATTAATTCCAATCATGTGGGTGTCTTGACTTATGACTATCATGATTTATGAGGGAAATTCTGGGCTCCATTACAGTAATAAGTCGAGGATTAACCTACTCCAAATGTAATGCACTATGAGAAGCAATAACATTTGATCTGATAATAGTGTATTCCAAACATGAGAATCCATGCTAAAGCAAATAAAAGATTTATCTAAGTCTAAGTTACTTGTTTAATTTTTTTTTATTATGATTGGAATACCCTCACTATGATGATCAATAATCCAAAAAGTGCAATTTGGCACTATATTAACACTAACACTATACTAACACAGGGTAAATGGATCTACCCTTCCTAACAAATACGCGTAGTATAACTCAAATCTTTACCTGACATAATTCTTGGTTCAACCAAGCATAGAAATATACTTCAAATGTTTACATTAAGAAAAATAAGGTTTGAATATGTACATTTATCTGGTTGTTTTTTTGAAATAGCACAGTTAATCAAGCCAGATAAGAAAGGTACCTGGTAAGAAGGGTATGAAAAGATAAGAGAATGAATTTCACAAATTATTTTCTTCTTCCAAAACTTATACCAAGTGCTAACACAAAATTAAAATATAGCTGCAGAATGAACAACTAATGGTGATTTTGTCACTAGGCTCTGAGATTTATATTCTTGCTTTCATTGTTAAAATTAATTTAATATACTTAAGAGCAATTTAATGCTTTTTTTCTACTATAAAATGTGCTGAATACTAATTATACAGTCTTGCAAATTATTTTTGTCCACATATAAGTGATCCTCAATCTATGACCATAATTGAGACTGGAATTGTGGTTATTAAGTCTGCTGGTTGTTAAACAGTCCATCCCATGAATGATCTGATTTGGATTTTTTTTTTTTTTGCAGTGGTCATTAAGCAACCATCGTGGTCATTAAGCAAACTCATTGTCTACAATGGAAGGGGTTTTTTTGCTGGAAAACAGAATGCTAATTTCTAGCAAAAAAAAGGAATAGATGTCTGTTGTGACTTAAAAAGTAGCTGTAGAATTGTATCATGGCTATGAAAACATACACTAGTAACAGGTATAAACTATTATCCAAAAGTCATAGGCATTAGACAAAGGCCTGGGAAGATTCAGATCTTCCCTTGATTCAATTTTGTACTGGAATTAACTTATAAAAAATAGTTCATTCACAAAAAAAAAAAAAAAAAAATAGTGCCTTTGTTTGTTTATTTGTTTTAGCCATTATTTTGCTTCAAGCACGAACTATTTGCAAGAAGTACTGTTTTGGTACTTACTCCCTCTGATTTTTTATCTGGATAGATGCAAGTTTCCCCATCAGCTGTGAAGTTACAGTATACTTTGAAAGAGTCCCCAGTACACCCTTGGTTAGGATCAATCCAATACTCTCCTATTAAAAAATAAAATAAAAAGCAATCAAACTCATTTGATCGATTCCAAGGCTTAATTGTGGATTAAATGAGTTGTTTTAAATAATAATCTTTATACCATATTATTGTGAAATTTTCTTGTTTCAGAAATGTTAATGTTTTGCAGAACTAATATACATTGGTATTAACAGCCCAGTAGGAACAATGAACAAATACGGTAACAAACAGCGCTTCATTTTGGACACACCAAGTTTATAACCAGAAGATAGACCTGAATTTTTCTTTAATTAATCTATATCAATTATATGACTGTGTAGTGGCAATGTAGAAGACCATTGTTATTTCAAGGTCAGTGCCATACTTTGATTTCTCCTTCATAGTAAGAAAAGTCTAGAAGTTTAAAGTTTATTCTGAGCTAAACCACTTGGTGTTTTTACTCATTTACTGAATGAAGGAGAAGGGGGAGGGGAAAGCTTCATGCAGCTTCAAAACTTTTCTTGCTGTGAAAATCTCATACTTTTGATTCTGATCCCAGAGTCATATGCTACCTAGTCGAAGTCAGATCTTGCAGTCTCCTGACCATAGCAGGACCATAGCATGAAGTCATGTTTTCAGGTTTTGATAAAAAAATGGGGGTTGTTGTTTGTTGAGAGCTTCTACACAATGCCTATCATTGGGTGCTGTGGAAACTGGCTGTCCTTTGGGCATCTCTCCTGGCAACTTGTAAAAGATTTGGATATCATCTTGCTTGCTATGCTCTTTTTTAATGTTTTGCTTTTAAATTTGTTTTCTTGAGTTAATAATAAAGCTTAAAATCCCTTTATTTATTGGAGTGTTCATTGAATCCAAAAGAACCAGTTGACCTGGGCATCTGATCATCTGCCCTTGGCAAAACAGAGCTATTGGAAAAATACCGGGCACAAAAATAATATGTGCATAATATATAAGAAACAAGAAATGATCCACATGTAAAAATAAACTTCAGCTCCCATAATGATCCCCTTTCAATGTGGAAAAAGAAAAGACAGTGAGTAAATATCTCTGATGTGCACACACACACACATACAAACACACGGAAAATTTTGACATTGGGAAATAAATAGTCATATTATTTCTTGAACTAGAACTGGCATCACCACAGAAAAAAAATGCAGTAGCTGTTTCATTGAATGTCTGAGACAGCCTAGGATGCATGAGACTATTCTTTAAAAGTCATCAAAATGTTTCGAGGACATAAGTGCGTAAGACCGTACTATGAAACAACAAAGGTTATATAAACTATTTTTGTTATTTTGCAGTAATGATTACAGATATAAAGTCTTCATTTTATATAGCAAGTTACATAACTCTTCAATTTTACCTCAAGGCTATCAAATTTTTACTATTTTTAGAATGAAAACAATAAGCTGTATAGTAAGGACAGGCTACTACCCTGTAACTATTTTTCTTTCACTGATCATCTGTCCTCTCAAGCATACGGTTACAGTTCTAAGCCTGCCTGACATCTCCTATAGAAATCCTACAACTAAGAACCCTGATCAAAACAGGAATCTAAAGAGAAAAAGGAAGACAGGTCATGTGAATTCACAGATGACCTTTTGCAGAATGATAGCTACAGGTAATAAACAACTTGTTTTTCTTCAATACAGTATCACTGAATCACACTTTGGGTGAATAGTGTTCCTTGCTACAATAAAATGTTTTATTTTCTAGTAATTTTATTAAACATTACAATTAAAAAGATAAAAAGTAATAGAAACTAAAAAGATAAAAAGTAGTAGAAACTAAAAAAAAAGTAAAAGAATGAAATGAAAAAATAGAAGGTCCAGAAAAGAAAAGAAAATAGAAAATAAGGTTATAAAGGGGGGAAAAGAAAAGAAATACAAAAATAAATTACTTTTCTTTTCATCACTAACATAAACAATGTTAATTTTAAACAAGTATAGCTTTTCTTACAACAAATGATCGCTTCTTCTTATGTCTCATCCCTTATCTATAAACAAATCCTCAAAGCCACCCCAGTTCAGTCCTGACCAGCAAAAAATCCTTTAAGACTCACCAGAGATAACTTAATTTATTTTAACCTTAATCAACTAAAACAACTTTATATTCCTTCCTTTTAACTATCTTGATAATTAATCCCTTCAAATAATGACCTAGAGCACTCTTCATTTTTTCTTTGTCCATTCCCATAAAAAGCTTTAGTAAGTGTCTTTTATAAGGAAAATAAAGGAAAATTATCCAGGTCTTTTGGTTTGTTACTTGCACATGACTTTTAATAATGAAGACATCAGCAGGTTTTAGTTGTATATCCAATGTAGCATCTTTTTCCATATCATCCCAAACGTTCAATATCTGTCATTTTAAACTCCTTTTAAAGATCAGTCTCAGTCTTATCCAGTGGAACTTGTTCCTCTTCCACAAGTTTATTTAAATGCAGTCTATCTATAGAGACTGGCGTTCTTAAAATTAACTTCTAAGTCCATTGTTCTCAATTGGCATTCAATATGTCCAATGTTAAAATGTTTTGCTCCATTCTATATTAATAAATCATTTTAAATGTTTTTCTCCTTTAATTGTAATCTTTAGTTCCTTCTGTGTCCAACTTTCAAAGTCCCACGCAACAATGTATTTTTAAAAAATAATGTAAAAAATCTTTTTCCCACAGGAATGTTTTTATAATTAATTTCCAAACTCTTATTTCAAATCCAACTGGACCTTAAATCCATTGTAACATTTCAAAAACAATGTTCTAATCATTTTGCTAAAAGAAAAAAATAAGCCCTCAAACTTGTATGTAAGATTTCTTTCATTAAGAATTGAAAGGAATTCACTGAGTACTGTAAATTTGTCAATCCAAAGATTCCAAACAATAAGTAACAACAAGCAATTTCCAAAAGTGATTGAATGTCCATAAAAACACCAAATGTAGTTTGAGCAAAGGTGGCTTTCACTCATCTCTCAGAATTCTAAGTCCGCCGAAGACTGCTGTCTTGCAGTCTTTTCACAAGAAGCAACCACTTGGAGCACTTGAAGACAATCTCAAGCCCTCTCCTTGTCCAGAGAGGAATTATGAAGAATCAGTCTATTTGCTAGCTTTTAATTCTGACATGATCATTAATTCCACTTTTATAGCCCTGTTTTAGGTTTACCATTTCTTCTCTGGAAGACCTTAACTAATAATGATGTTGTTCTGCCAAATTCCACCTGCTTTTTGTCTTGATTGCAAGCCAGCAATGCAAAAACAGCATGCGGAACACAACAGTGATTTACCGAGAGCAGATAAAATAGTGCTTTATAAAAAGCTGCTGATGTTGAAGTGATACTTCACTTATTTCACCAGAGGCAAATGCATGATTGATAATACATGTACATAGTCTTCCAGGCCTAACCCAAGAGACACCGAGATGCAGGCAGGCTTTCTTTTTTGATCCACCAAAGCATATAAAAAGAGGATATGCATCTGGAAAAGCTTAATATGATATGAAACCTAGGGCTCACAGAACAGCCAATTTACACAAAGAACATTCCAACTCCAATGAAAAAAAGGAAGTGAAATTAGACAGGTCATTCAGAGGAGAATCCCTAGTCATGGCAGAATACCAGTTTGCATTGACATTTTGTATAAAACAGTGCTCAGAATATATAGCACAGATGCTCTCAGAAGACAAGAAATACTACTTTGAAAGTCAGTAACTTTCAAAAAGTCAGTAGATTTGAGGCAGCTACAACTTCAAAAAATTTCTTCATCAATGGAGATACCACCATGAACAGAGTTCACTGAGGGATTAAAAAAAACTTGTTCAGTTTCAAAAGTAACTTTACTCAGCATCAGCCTCCACAACACAACTTAGCTGTAAATTCACACACCCATATCAAATAGATTTATGTGACAGTTAAGCTGTCCTGTTAGATTCAAGTGTGTTAAATTCATCCCAAGATAGAAATTTTCTTGTCTATTTGCCAACTCTATGCAAAGAGTCTCTCTCTCTCTCTCTCTCTCTCTCTCTCTCTCTCTCTCTCTCTCTCTCTCTATATATATATATATATATATATATACACACACACACACACACACACACACACACACACACACAAACATCCAGAAGCTTCTTTCCTAATAAAGATATTTGTGAGCAGGCACATCTCCCTTTGGGGTGAAAATATATGAAATGGCAGATCTGTTAGGTGATGCAGGAGAATGTTGGTGTTGTGCTTCTGCTGGGTGAACTGGATGTACTGTGTGTTGCAAGGAACAAATGGAGTGTGGATACTTGAAGAAATTTCACAAATGCAAAGATCAATTCCGTTAAGCTTCTTTTATGAATGTTGGACAATAAATGAATACTTTGACTTGGTGTAGAGCACACAAACATAATAGGCACCTGCCCAAAATTTTCAGGAGGTAGCAAATTGCTTCTACAATGGGAACTTGTGCGAGGGTGACAATCTCCAGTACTCATCAAGAAGGCTTGATATTCTAATAAAAATAAACTCCTAATAAGGAATAATTCCCAGCTTTGTTGAAAGAACTAACAACATTTTGTTTAATTCAACTGCTCTATTGGTTAGAAAATAATTGAGAGAGGAAGGAGGAGGATTGGTTTCACACATGCATGTTGAAGGGAAAGCTCTCTCAACTAGGAAGTGTAAACACTAAGAAAGATGATTTTGATGGGAAATATGCAGGAACTGTTACCTCGGCAAAACACTTTTCAACTTTTTTTTCCAGTCCAGAATGACCAGATAACATTCAAAAGTAACTCAGACAGATTCAGAAGAAGGATGTGGAGGCACAGCATAACTGGACTTGCAAGATTCTGTTATAGATATAGCTAATCTCAATAAAAGTACTTTTAGCCTTCCTGTGGAATGGAGGTTTTAGTCTAGTCGGCTTGGCGGGGCTAATTGAAGAGTTCCTGTTAGAGGTTTAAGTCCAGATGCAGAATTAATATGTGTGATGCACAAGAGCATGGTGTTTCATGCTATTTTACAGAAGAGCAATGATTTAATGAGAGGAACATTTTTGGGTGTAATAAGAAAAATATGAAACTAGAAAAAATGTGAACTAGTGAAACACTTCATTTACTGCTATTATATGCCAGAAACACTACTGATGCATTTCTGTATAAATCTAAACCAGTATTTTATATTTTTAAAGCAACAATGTGGGTATGTTTCAGGTAACTACAAACGTTTTGATCCTCTGAACATATTTATGTTATAAAGACAAACCAATTAAGTAACGTAGTTTGGTATAGTTTGAAAATTATCTTCTAATTAACTTCTTAAAATAGGACAATGAACATATGACATGGATTTTGGAGAACTGGTATATACCAAAACCCAATACAAGTAGAATGAAAGAACTGGTGTTAGCAGATCAGGATTTTGGAAAAATTTGCTTTTATGAGGCAATAGTAACCTACCATCTGGAAAATCTGGGTGACAGAGCTGCAGATCCTTGCAGGTTCGAGCTGGGTTGTTCTGAGTGCCAATTGGGTATTTCATATGTTCAATATCTTCTTTCAGAGAACTCAGTGAGCCAAAGATCTCCTCCATTCCATCAGTGTAATCTTCTGCAACAGATAGCTTGGCATCTATGGATCTCTTGGACTTTTTGGAGGCTTGCATTGGCAATGGTTGAATAACCTCACCTGGAGGTCCCTGGGAACACCAAGACAATAGCTTTTCATTCCATTTTTTTTAAAAAAAAATACAAATAACCATAAGACTTGACCGAAGCTTAGAGTTTCAGATAGAGTTAGGAGGGAAAATGAAACTTTCACGAAAAACAAAATTACATCATGTGACATCATGAAATTATTATAAATAGATAAGTAATATACAAATAAATGCTTGTCCAACAAGAAATGTTATTCAGTTTATGAGAAACCAAGAACTAACTGTTTACGAAGAAGGCAGAAGAGTCACAATTAATAATGTATTTAATTTGGGGGAAAAATACTACAAGGCTGAGTTTATTAATTTAAAATGCTGCATGCAGTTGCTTTCTCCTTTTAGTTGTTCACATACCTGGACTCTGATATGGGGTGACCATATATAGGAAGAAGTAAATAGTTTTCCATATTGTCTTAACATTATATATTAATATAAAAGAGAAACATTTCTGTCACAGACAATCCCCTTGCTCCAATCTTTTCAGTAAGACATAGGTTCCCCATTTTGTGATTTTTTTCCCCTATAATAAGCACTACAAATTATAAAGGGAAGGGACCAACTTTAGCCAATTTTTGGCTATGTTTAAATTTTAACAGCTAGGAAATATGGAAATATACAAACTAGCTACATTCTCTGACTATCAAAGGCTTAGTCTGGCTAAGAGAAAGAAATATGGTATATAATCCAAGTGAGCCAAAGAAAACAAACCTACTTTTACTGGTTCCACCAAACCCAAATCAAATCCATTGCTTTTAGCATGGATAAAACAGGCAGAAAGATTTTTGGGGGTATTGCACAGTCACCATTTTGTGTCTGCATGTGTATTTCTTTAATTATTCTTGATTCCTGGTGAACTTTCTGGACTAGTCCTTACAGATTTATTGGCCAAATTTTCATTTTTTAAAAAAATGTAATTTTGCTAAAGACTATAATTATAATAATAAATATTAAAAATTAAAAGATAGTATAGAAAGAAACAGTAGAAAGTGCAGAAAAAGGAAAAAAGAAAGATAGAAAAGAAACAAAAGAATAAAAAAGAGAAAAAATATAAAGTGATTTCCAAGTTTCAAACATATAAACAGTGCTAGTAAGTCATCCCAATTCTTAAAATACAACAAATGAACTCTTCTTTCCATATCCCATCTCATATCTATAAACAAAACCATAAAGCATCATCATTTTGGGGTCAGCAAAAGTCCATTACCAGAAATAGCAACATATCTGCGTTAACCTGAATCAAATAAACCTGCTTTCTATTTCTTCCTTTTACTTCTAACAGTCTCCTTTAGTGCAAATAATGTTTCAGAACTTATTTTTCTTTATTCTTCCTTTTCACAAGAGTCCTCAAAACTTTAAGAAGCCTCTTTTGTAAATCCAGTATAGGAAAATTATCACTCTCTGGGTTTATTGTTTAATTATTAAGTTGCATCTTTCTTCAGTTCTGGTACAAAAGAGAACATTCTTAACTACTCATGTAGGTAGAAAGTTAATTACTCTCAACATTTTTGTTACATTCTTCTAGTATCTCCCGGATGGTAGAGGCTGCCTACCAATGCAATTTTTGCCCCTGGATTCATGCAAAACCATCATATTGTCAAATTGCTGATCTGTATGTTATTCAACGATAGATTAAGCAAAATAAGCACATGCGCAGAGCACCAAGGGAAGAGAGCACCATGCATTTTCCCCCATAGCTATTATGCCCTTCATTGCTACACTCAACTTCAGTCATTTTTTTGGATAATTACCTTAGTCTTCCTTGTCTCATTTTAAGTTGCATTGTCGAAAGCAAATCTTTTATTTGACTAAAATTTAAAAGTTTGGTTTGAAAGTGTCATCAGATATAACATTTGTTTTGTTTTTGTCTGATGATGGGAGAATTTTGCTTCCCTTGTGAACCACCAGTAGGTTTCTCTTTAAAGCATTGTAAAAATTACACAATGCATTATATTATTCCAATACAGTGATATTTATACAGTATTGATTAAAAATGATAAACACTCTAATGCTTAAATAGGTTAAGCCATTGAGAACACGATGAAATAAATATTATTTGTCTTAATTATTGTTTAAAATGTCACTGTTAATAAGTGTAAGGATATTGGGCTGTTTCATCAAGAAGTGAACATAACAAGAAAGATGTTCTTACAATAAAGCACTCACTGAGGTTGCGCTGAAGTATTTGTTGTACAATAAAGGCTTTGGTCTTAAGCTAATTAGCTAGAATACAACACCACTACTCAGCTGTGTAGGGCATCAGTTGGCCTTAATCTGGTTCTGATATTATTGTACATAATTAAAAATATCCACAGCATTGCTGGCTTTCTTAAAAATCTCCCTGCTTTAGCTTTCCTTGAAGATTATCAGGGGACAACCCCACACTGTTAAAAGTCAGGTGCTAACCTTCCTCTCATATTTTTAAAGGCTATGGCTTGCACTCAACATCTACAATAGCATATTCAATTTTGATCAAATCAAAAGCAGTCTTACTTACAGGAGGGCCGGGAGGGCCGGGTAAACCACCATCACCTTTCTGGCCACCAGGACCCTATGAAGGAGTAGAATAGTACAATTTTAATAAACCTTATAAATTGGAAAAGAATAGTGAGCCACACCAAGACCGAAAGGGGGGGAGGGGGATCAGGAGAATCTCTGTGGAGGAACTTACCGATGAACCTTTAGAACCTTTGGGGCCTTGAGGACCCTATAGAAAAAAGCATGACAGAGTCATACAAAATTATATTTGCAAAGGTGTCTATATAATGAACCAGAACAAGGTAAACTGAATATAGCTACTTACTGGTAAACCAGGAGGGCCCGGAGGACCAAGTGGGCCAGCTGGTCCAGGAATTCCCTAGAAAAAAGTATGTATTAAATCATTGCTGGTTATTACATTAAAAACACCATTACTGGGTGTGGAATTCTGGTAGTTGAGGTCCATCCATCTTAAATTTGCCAAGGTTAAGAACGAGATTTATTAGAATTAGAGTTAGAATTCTTTATTGGCCAAGTGTGATTAGACACACAAGGAATTTTTCTCCGGTGCATAAGCTGTCAGTGTATATACAACAACAGTGATAGATCAATTAAGAAACACTGTATTGTCTTTTCATTGGTAAGGCATATACAGATAATCTTTGACTTACCACCATTTGTTTAATGACTGTTTGAAATTACGACTCATTGAAAAAAGTGACATATAACCGGTTTTCACACTTATGACTACTGTAGCCTTCCCATGGTCACATGATGAAAATTCAGATGCTTGGCAACTGCCATGTATTTATGACAGTTCCACTGTCCCAGAGTCACTGATCACTATTTGTAACCTTCCCAACAGGCTTCCAACATGCAAAATCAATGGGGAAAGCCAGATTTGCATAACAACCACACGACTCACTTAACACCTGCCGTGATTCACTCACTTTTGTCGCCAAAAGGTTGTAAAATGGGGCAAAACTCATTTAACAACTGCCTTGTTTAGCAAATAAAATTTTGGGCTCAATTGCAATCATAAATGGAGGACTACCTGTAAATGTTTTTAACTCTTTTTTTCATTCGAAAGCAAAGAACATTTCAGTGGAAATCTCATAAGGTACGATATTCTCACTTTCATCTTAGATCAGAGGTGGGGCAAATATGGCCCCTTTATGACTTGTGGACTTCAACACCCAGAATTCCTGAGCCTGTATGGGGGGATGGCTGGCTCAGGAATTCTGGGAGTTGAAGTCCACAAGCCATAAAAGGGCTATAGTTGCCTTAGATACAAGGTACTGAAGGAGAGTGAGTATCCTGTCCTACAAATGAAATTCTATCTCTGGCAGTCTGCAATCTCCCTTGCATCTCTATGTGTCAAATAAATGTGAAAAGATAGAAAAACTCCTCCCTGGGTGCTTTTTTCAGATGAGCAAGCAGCAGCAGTTAGGGAGATATCGAAGTAATAGAGAAATGTGTAACAGAAAACCCAATTCTAAACCTCATCACCTCACAATAATTTATATCAAAACACCATGAAATGAACTTTAAAAGCATCCTGCAAATGATATAGAAAAAAACTAAGGTGCTTTCACAGGGGAAGAAAAATTGCCTGAAATTGGGGAACAGATGTTCAGTTCTTGATTTGTATTGATGTTGATATATAAAAGTGAAGAGATCTTACTCTGATAATTTCCATTTTACTACTGCACAGTAAAGTTTAAGAGAAAATGAGATCTCTGAAACTACCAGCCCAAGTCCATGGACTTTATTCATAGGTGGATTAAAACATTAATATTCTTATGCAACTATTATAAAGTTAATAATAGAAAGAGATTTCATTTTAATCCATAAATCTAATTATGGTGTCAAGGGGCACATTAATGCATAACAATAATGGAAAGCCAATGGAATTATATTGCCAGAACAAGTAGGACAAATAACTGGAAAAATAAAGAAAAAGATTACATTTAGATCAGGAATGCAATGAACGGTCATAAGCAAATTTCAGTAAAATTAAAACCGGCTCTCAATTACCAGAAAGTTTTTAGTTTTTGCTTACTGGAATGAAGCTAACACTAGCTGAAGTGCTTTGGGATTTCTGGAATTATTAATGTTTTAATTTCACCAAAAGTACATCTTCAAACACTATATACACTGGATTAGTCATCTCTGTATTGATTTTGCATTTGGGAAATATTTTTCTTTTTCGCTTTGCTGGTGTTTTCTTTATTTGCTTTTGTAATTTTTCTGTTTTTCTATAGTATTTTATAATAAATTTAATAAATGAACTTTTATAAATATATAGTTAAAGTATCAGTGAGAACTGGAAAGACCCAAGCCAAATTCACATAGTTTCCTTGTCCTACCACAAGGATGCTCCACTATAGAAATGACTATTTTCTTATCCTATCTCAAAAGACTACATGTGGGCAATATAGAGCATGTAATGTACATGAATGAAGTGGCCTGAAATGACACATTCAATGCACATAATGTCTCCAATTCATTCTACTAGTTTCTTATGAATTCATTCTGCCAGATTCTCCTCTGCCTGTTTTGGTCACTGAAGTTTTCTCCTGTCCTTCAGTTCCTCCATTGGATGCAGTCATACCCCAAGTTCCTATAGCTACTTTCTGGTTTTGTTAATGAACAATCGGTCTCTCTAAAGATGCAGACTGTCCTGTTCATGGCTTAATACATATAGCACTGTTTCTCATCAAAGGCCATGAACTGGATGTGTGGATATCCAGATCGGTAAAACTCCAATCCATTTTACTGTTTGCTTTTCATTGTTTGATCTCCCTCAGCTTTTAAATGAAAATGCCATGATGTCCTTTGTAGATGTTTCTAAAGGAAGCTTTTTTTTTTTAAAAAAAAGGTAAGCATTCTTTTAAAAACAAAGCAGCTCCTTTATTTGCAGTTTTGAGAAACACATAGAGGACTTCCAAATGAAGATGAGGTTAAGGAGTTGGGCACGATATGTTCCCATTATCACATGATATTATATTAAGAACCTTGTAACTGTGAATAATTTTGACATAACCATGAACAAATCAGAGGACAGAGAAATGCTATTTCAAGCCAGCATATGCTGCTTCAGAATCTACATAGCAGCCTTGCTTTTTGCTTGAAAAAGTCACCTTCACTTTCCAGTTCTGGAAAGTATTAATACTGGTATGCCAGTATTAATATTTTGAAAGTCAAAATAACTTTCCTGCTATGAAGACTAGGAGGGTTTGAGGATTTTTAGTGAATTTGCTAATATTTGTTACCAATTCACACTTCCTTATATAGAAGGAACTCAAACTGCTTCTCCAATTTTATTATAATTTATATGCATAGACTATATGTAGGACATACTTGCACTGTATTTTCTAAGGAAAACTATGGCAATTTTAGGGATGGAGTGGGATATGAACTTTGTGTCTTGAAAACATAACAAGGAAGCACTGATTGGCTGGAACTTTGTTATGTTCTGCCATTGGCCAGAAAGGCTTATGGTATGTAAAATTGAGTATCCCATTGGTCAAAGAGTTTCGATGGGCGGGACCTAGGAGGAGGGGCTTCTCAGCTGCTGCTTCCCACCCTATGGAACATCTTACCTCCAGAGGCAAAGTGAATCTCACTCTTCCAGTTTTCTGGAAAAGTGTTAAGACTCAATTTTGCTTATTAGCATGCAGCTCTAAAAGTGTGGTGCAGCCTGGAGATGTCTGGTAGCCTGAGGACACTCCTGCTGCTTTGTTAACCTCTTAGCTTTTGAATTTTAACCTGATTTATTTTTACTTGTATGTTTTGACCTGTTTTAACTCTGCTTTTAAAGCTATTCTTTGATTTATGTACTTATTTGGTTTTATTATGCTGTTACAAACTGCTCCTAATCACATATGTAGAAATGTAATAAATAAATAAATGTCTAAACAGATCTGCAAATGGTCAAAATAGCCCAGATTAATTTTAGCACATTTTATATAGATTGAGAGGTGTTGGCGACAGAAGAAATAGTTATTTGAAATGGATCACATACTTTTTTTTGGGAGGGGGGGGGGTTTCAATTTTCCAAAAGAAAATTGGAAGTCACAAGCAGGTTGTTTAAGAAAAACTCAGCAAATTCGATGTTATCCATTACAATGTGCCTATGTTGGCACAGAGTTTGCTTTAATGGATCTTGCAGGTCTGTTCATTGATAAGTTTGTTTTTACTTCTAGTGCAAGGGTCTTCAAACTTGCAAGTGTACGACTTGTGGACTTCAACTCCCAGAATTCCTGAGCTAACATGATTGGAGGAGGAATTCTGGGAGTTGAAGTCCAGAAATCTTAAAGCTGTCAAGTTTGAAGACATCTGCCCTAGTGTGATCAGAAATTTTATTACCAAAACTCTCTTCATTGGGCATTCCCATTTGTTTAAGTGTACAAAGCTTCCTGTTGATGGATGGAGTAAGTTGTCCATTTTTCCAATTACTTTTTGATCCTTGGCGCTCTCTTTAATTTCTAAAAATCTGCTCTGCAGAACTTGGACTCTGAAACAGGGAGGAATTCTTCCATTCATGCAAAAGTAAGCCTGAAGCCAATCTAGAATTATCTGACATGGGTGTAAAATAGCCAATTTACTAATGTTAAAGGCTGTGCAACAAGCTACTAACTTGGAGATAGCCTAAACAGTTCTAGAAGTAAAAGGTAAAGAAAAAGATTTATCTGTGTGCAGTTTGTACTAACCGCATCTCCTTTTGATCCCGTAGATCCCTGTGTACCAGGCAGACCCCTGTCTCCCTTTTCTCCTTGTTCTCCTGGAGGTCCAATCAATCCAATCAATCCAGGATGTCCCTATAAGTAGATATAACAAAAATCTGACTTGCAGTCAAATCATACAGCAGAAAGAATAGCATCCAGGGAAGTGATAATTATTATTTTTAGGCAATGATCTATGGAATAAGTATTGCATGAGCTCTATACTAAAGATATATTTCCATGTACCTTTTCTCCTTTCGAACCAGGATCTCCTTTCAATCCTGGCAAGCCGGGTGGACCCTACAGATATTAAGAAAAATAACATGAAATAAAGATGCTGGTTATTTCTGAATCAAGTTCATCAAAGGTTCTGCATTTTCAGATGTAATCCCATCTCACAGCATTCAATGGCCAATGTCATCCAGAGTGCTACAAGGCACACAATAACCTTTAACAATATGCTCGTACAAGGAATTTATCTGAGTAATTCACTGGGCTAATGGCTGTGGTTTTTATCCTGCTTTACCTGACATTTATTGTTCCCTTTGTCATACTGAGCAGGCTTAAGAAGGTTACTTTTTTTTCAGTTCAGGCTGCTTTCCAGTTGGCTTCAGTCTGCAAAACTGTATGGAAACACAATCTGGCTGGAAATGGGTTTTATTAATTAATGTAATAATTATATCATTCTGATGTCCACTTTTTTTTCCGGGGAGCTTAAAGTCACAAATGAGCTCCATGTTACAGGAAAAAGCAGCTATAAGAAGGTTATAACTAACGATCTGTGGTGGCGCAATGTGCTTAGAATGCAATATTGCAGGCTTAACTCATTGTTTGCTGTCAGGAGTTCGATTCTGATCTGCTCAGGGTTGACACAGCCTTCCATCCTTCCGAGGTCAGTTAAATGAGGACCCAGATTGTTGGGAAAAATATGCTGACTCTTAAACAGCTTACAGAGAGCTGTAAAGCGGTATGTAAGTCTAAGTGCTATTGCTATTGCTTTGATTTCATTGTTGGCCATTTGTCCTAAGCATCTTTTCTTCCATTTGAAGTCTTTCAAAATTATTTGTCCGAGAACAGTGAGCTTCCTTATTATTAGAGTAATAGCAAAGTATATCATCTGCAACTATGACGTTTAGAAGAAACCCTATAATTTTTTTTTAAATTTAGTGCAATATATTTTTCTCTCTCTGACCTAAACAAAGCTGTTAGTCACATATATAACTCAATCCATTACAGGGTCTGGCCATGCTTATTGCTGGAATACAGTTGTTCAGTTTCAAGCTGAGAAAACGAGGTTTTTGAAAAATTATCCACTCCCAGGTTAGAGATAAATGAAAGAAAATGTGTTATAATAATTCTTTTGCAATAGTTAAAAAGAAAATGCACATATTTATTTTAGAATGCCAGCCCAATGTTACAGGGAGGGCAATTACAAGAGAAGGATGAAAATGGGAGCTAATATGAGGAACCTATAAATAACTAAAGGCTAATTTTTCATGTCATGCAACCTCAGTTATTTTCAAACATATAGAAAGGATATCAACTTTGTTATTTATAAAGAATAATATCAAAATATTCTAAACAGGTTTAGCAAAATAAAGCATCCATTTAGGGACTTATATCAAGCTGGAACTGAATTATTGCAACTAAATCTGAAAGAAGCAAGCATAGGACTGCAATATAAATCTCCCTTAATGCAAGTGATAAGATTCACTTATGAGTAAGTAGGCATCAGAATATGGTATTAATTATTCATTGAACAGCTGCTTGCAGTGATGAGAAGGCTGTCAATGGTAGGGTAGGGAATAAAATATCTCAGGTTGTAATCCTTTACACACTTACACGTGAAGCCCAAAAGAACTTAATAGGATATCATTAGGAGTAACTGTGTTAGGAATACACAGGTAATTCCAACTATTACTAACTCTTAACATTTCTTCTTTTAGGTAGCAGTAGATGCAAATGTTCAAGGCAAATGTATAGTTCAAGAAGATTACACATATATTCTCACCTATGACACATTTGATATTCCTGCTTTACCTAAGGCTTTGTTCATAAATGGAATATACTGGATATAAACTGAGGTTAACAACTACAGCAGCATATAGAACTTTAGGTAGGAATCAGTGAGTTAAAAGGCTAGATGTCTAATTATTAACATTACTTTTTTATTCTAGTCAAACAAGGTTTGCAACGTTACTTCCAAAGACAGTTATAATTAGTAACATCTGAATTTGACATTTGATTTAAAACCAGAAGTGTAAGAAGAACTAGGAGCACAAATGACTCCACGGTAATATGGATGAATTTTTGATGCCTCTGCTTTCTACTTCTGCTACTCAAGAATAAATCACAGATGATCAGTCTTAAAAGATATTGACTAGGACTTTGAAAGCAAGTTATACTAGATGCTAAAAGAAACATGAACACTATTCTTGTTATATATGTTCAAAGCTTTTCAGGTAGTTATAATGCAGTACGGCAATGTCATTCTGTCATATGTTGATGTATAGAGAGTAATGAAGAGTATAGCATAACTTCAATCTGACAAGTCTTTTAAAGGTTAATATCTTTGGATCCATGGCAAGCAAAAAGATGAAATCTACCATGTTTCTCCAACAAAACCACTCCCAAATAGGAAGACCCAGCATGTTTTCTAGGCATAAAATGAAATTAAGCCCCTCCCCCCAAATTTAGGCCTAGTTTAAAACATGTGAAATTGGGGGGGCAAGGTGGGGTGGAACTTGCCATTAGGAGTGCCCCACGGGCAGCTACGCCTTACCATCAGCCGCTCCTAACACCATGGTGGAGCACAGAGGGCTCCCTTACCCCTCCCTTACCCGGGTCAGCAGGCAGTGGATGTCTGGCAGCGTTTCAGCTGCTTCTCAGGCCTCCGTAGCTTTCATGGTTCCCACCAGTGGTGGCGCCTCTCTCGCCAGCACCATCTCCAACAACAGCGTCTGAGTCAATCCTGCTTTTCCCCCGTCCCCGTAACAACAGGAAAAAAAAGTTTTTGAGGTACCTGGGAGCATCGCGTGCTGCATTTTGGTTTAATCCCGAGCGGCTGGGTGGGCGTGAGAAGAGCCAAGTGAGCATCTCTGCTGCTGCTACCCTTGGTGCTCCAGCCTCAGGCTCTGCAAGTTTGCAAAAGTCCCGGTGCAGCAGCCCGTTCCTGCATTCCAAGCACCCAAGCTGAGCTGCAGCTGTCCCTCTCTCGCCAGCACTGTCTCCAAGAACAGCAGCAGCAGCGGCGGGAACCATGGAAACGTTTCAGCCACTTCTCAGGTGGGGGAGCCTCCTCCGTAACTTCTACGGTTCCTGCTGCTACTACTGCTGTTATTGGAGACGGCGCTGGCGAGAGAGGGACAGTTGCAGCTTGGCCTGGGTGCTTGGAATGCACCGGGACTTTTGCAAACTTGCAGAGCCCGAGGCTGGAGCAACAAGGGTAGCAGCAGCAGAGACACTCACTCAGCTCTTCTCATGCCCACCCAGCCACTCGGGATTAAACCAAAATGCAGTGCGCGGCACTCCCAGGTACCTCAAAATCTTTTTTTTCCTGTTGTTACAGGGATGGGGGAAAAGCGGGAGAGACTCAGAAGCTGTTGTTGGAGACGGTGCTAGTGCGCGGAGGGAGAGAGAAATTAATTCACTCCTGAAAAGATGTCCTAACCTTTTTTTCGGGGCTCAAAAAAAAATAAGGCCCGGCCTTATTTTGTGAGAAACACGGTAGCAGAAAAATAATTTTATCCTATGTTTTAAGACAGTTTCACACACAAAAATACTTACCATGGGACCTGGTGGGCCATCTTGACCAGGTACTCCAGGTAAACCTTGTTCTCCCTGCAAGAAGATATAAACCCAGCTTAATTTGGAAGAGCACATTATGAAAACCTGAACCAAGGGGGAAAAATGGTATGGTTGATGTACTCACCACAGGGCCAGGAATACCCCTAAGTCCTTCTGGGCCAGATTTTCCTGCAGGACCTTGAGGACCAACTGGGCCAGTTTTTCCCGGAGCACCCTCTGATCCAGCCTCACCCTATTACATAAATATCAGCGTGAATATTCATATACTGTTGAACTGAATTATTTACAGATAAAGACAAAGCAAGCTGATAAGAATTCCACAGCCAGTACAAGAAATAATCCTTTACCTGAGCAAAAGACAAGAAAAGTAGCCATCGTCTTAGTCTACTTTAAACTCATTTTGTTTGTGCAGATGGATCAAAAGAAGAAAATTATGAACCTAAACTACTTGCTTCCATTTACAATGACACTTTTTTTCTTATATTAATATTCCGGTGTTCCTACAGATTTCTATTTGTTTAGACCATGCTGCTTCCTTTTCTTCTGAAATGTCTAAAGATTTGGACTGAAATAATATTCACTCATTTTTGGCTAACAGAATTTAATGCAAAAAAGAAGAAATGGCAATTAGAGTAAAGATACAACCGTGACAGGCTACCATTTGGATAAACAGACTATTAACCAGAGACAGTCTAGTAGAATAATGAGCCTCTCAGTTGATAGCTGCTAGGACTGAAAAGCTCTTGGGATCTGATTCCAAAAAGGTGTTTTGGAGAGCATGATAGAACATTACCTGCAGCTCCTTAACAAGCACCTTTTCCTAGGATTGTGTGGCTGCAGTGTGCAGTCACAACATGATTCTGAGAAAAGGCATTATTTAAAATTGAGACAGGTGCTGCTTTCTTCTTCTACATGCTTTAAAACACCTGGCATTTTGGAACTGAAGCATTTACAGTCCTAATAGGTAGTGTCTTATCTTGTCATAAAAGCTTCCCCACTTCTGGACAAATCAATCACTGATCTTTTGCTCTTGATTTATGATTCATTCCTTCATTTGTTTGTTCTGGTTTGAGGTTGCCCAGCTTGCAAGACTCTGGGAGGTTCACATTAAAAACAAGAAATGATAAAACAGTAAGAATAAAGATCATGTGCCATCCAGAAGAAGTAAAGTAATGTTTATAGGGACTCCCATCATCCTAGCCCAAGGCTTGGAAGAAACAGCCAAACTTTCAATGACTTTTTGAGTATTATAAAGGAGGAAATCATATGAATGTGTACATGGGACGGAAGAAAGGTGTTCGTCTTATACTTAAAATATTTACCTTTGCTCCTTTTTCACCTTGTCTTCCTTCTGCGCCAGCTGCTCCAGGAGGCCCCTGTCATAAAAGAAAAAAAAACTCTATTAAGTATAATGAGATGAATTAGAATCAGACTTAATTCCTACTTCATGTAAAGATACATCTCTCCCATAGAAATCTTCACAGGGAATGTTCTTCTGGAGGAGCAGAAAAAACTTTTGCAGATTTTGATCCACTATAGCCCTTGATTCTCTTGAAAATCTCATCCAAAGTTAGAGAATCTCTAGAGTAGGGATGGAGAATATTTCCAGCCAGAGGTCTCATTTTTTCCCTCTCTGATAACTACAAATAATATGACTAATGAGATCAGAAATGGCAGGGTTCCATTTTTCAACAGTTCCTATTTTGTTTAGCATTCTATGCTTGTCTAATGACTTGGGATTTGTTAGTAAAAGTCTACTCTTTCGGAGAGTTAAATGAAGACTAGTGTTTTAAGCTTCTCCATTTGGGCATCTGTTTTAATCCTTAAAATCACTAACTGAAACTCTTAAAATTGTAAAGAAACGTTGTTGCCATCCACTCCATGATTGTGTTGGAAGCCACAAAAGGATCTTAGAGAGCTAAATAAAGACTTGCAGACTGAGCTCCTCCAAGATGGCTGCTGAATAACAAAGGAGCTGTTTCTCTCTTGCCGATGATCTGCTGATTTTGCTGCCTAAGCTGCCTTTCTGGAAGTGCTACTCCCTGCATTTGAATGGGGGCACTTAGAAATGACCCAAGATGACTTTTGAATGGTTATGGACACATTTGGGAAGGGGAGTCTTGAAGATCCCAGTTCCCTTTGGGAGTGATCAGAAATGCCAGCATTTTGGGTTTTCTTAAGTATACCTAGCTCTTCATTTCACTTTTTGAAATTTTTCCTTTTTAACTTTTGAAAGTAGACCAACTGGCTAAATTCTGATCTATTTCAATCCCCTGCTAGACTTTAGCTGTTCTCTTTTGTCCTTTTTCCTTTGACTTATCCTGTGTTTCTAAATAATAAATAAATAAATATCTGGATTTTTGTAGCACTGCTCTGGTAGCTCTAGTACACGGGTGTCAAAACTCACAACCCGCAGGCTGATGCGTCACCTGCTGGCCATGTCCATGCCTGGTTTAGCAAAGGGGGGAAAAGTCACGTCACATGATGCCACCATGACAAGGTGTGTTTGATACACCTGCTCTAGTAGATGGACAGTGGTAGAAGATGTGGTCACCTGTGTGTGAAGTGGTGGTGAGAGCAGAGAAGCAGAGAAACCTCTGTAACGGATAGATCTTTCATTATTGCAACATAAGTTTAATTCTAGAAAAGCATATCTAGCTTTTGTGGAAGGGAAATAGAAAAGGTAGCCCTAGGTTGTGTGCTAAACAGCCTAGCTGGATGTATTCCTGGACAACTGACCATTCTTCGCAGAATGTTCAGAAAAGAAAAGTTGACGAAGTATCACTGAGTGAAAGAGAAAATATCCATTAATTTATCTGAATGTAAAATATGCACAATTGCCACCCCAGCAAACAAAGGCAGGCATTTTCACATGAGGAAAATGATGATCTATTTTTGTCAATACGCTGTTGGCAAGATGTTTCTGTTTCTGCTGAGCTTGATGAGATTTTAGAGTCTTTAAAAAGCCACTTCTGTAAGATGCATGAATGCAAGCTAGAACAGTTCTGGTTCCTACTAAAGTTTAAAAGATAGCTTTATCTCATTCTTTGTATGACATCTAGCAGAACTGACAGGTCTAGTATTACAAGTCAGTAAATCATGTTTTAATGCTTAGCTTGGGTGTGTGTGTGTGTGTGTGTGTGTGTGTGTGTGTGTGTGTGTGTATTATATGGACCATATCTCCTAGTAGAGAAGTATTCAAAAGTAGAGTTCTGGGAAAAACGGTAGAGGGAACAAAATGTTCACACAGCCCATGTCAAATATTAATAATATAATGTGAGAACTGAAGCCTGAAACATGTTAAAAAGGGACTCTCGGTTTTTGTCCAGATGAGAAATTGGAAATGGTTGTGACTCTTTGTTACAGGTTCAACAGTAATATGAAATAAATGTACATAATCCAGATCCTCGAGACATTTAAGTGTGTTCCCATTTGCATTTTACACTGAAGGATGATACGTGTTTGCTTGTAGCCCACCTTCATTATTTTTACAAATAAGTCAAGCTGGTAAACATATCCAACACATCTTCCTTCTCCTACTTTCCCCACAAAAGCACTCCTGTGAGGTAAGTTGGGCTGAGAGAGTGACTGCCCAAGGTCACCCAGCCTGCTTTCATGGCATTGACTAAAGCAGGACTAGAACTCACAATCTCCTGCTTTCTAGCCAGGTGCCTTAATCACTAGGCCCAAATGACACATGCTTGACAATAAAATCATTCCCCTCACCAACACCACATATATTTCTATTTTGGAACTTAAACTTTATAATGGATAGTCAGTATAATTTAGGCTAAGCTTAACAAACTTTTAAAACACCCACTATCATTTGTAAGACCATTCTGTACAAAAATAGATTAATAAAAGCACATAAAAGAACATAAAACCAAAAGAAAAAAAGAAAATAGAAAAAAGGAGCAACATATATCACATGTGTATCAACAAACTATAAACTCACAAAGTACTATGTTTTCAGTTGCATTTGTGGTGACAACCCTAAGTTTACCGTGAATTGTATAAGAAGAGATTGTATTACAAGAGCACTGGTAAGTTATTTTACTACATGAGACACACTTAAAGAAGCTTTGAAATGGTTAGGGCAAATGATCTAGGGGACAGGAGAAACAATACAAAACTTTATAATAAGTATAAATGTACTTCTTGCATAATCTAGGAATGCAGCTGCAACATCAATTAGCAGTGCTTAGGAACACTGTGATCGCTAAATTATAAATACAATGAATCATGATTGCCAAAACAAAGGGGAGGGGCTATATTCATTATCAAACAATACCAATTCTGCACCGAATGCAAAGTTGGTAAATGAACGGCTCTTGTTAACCCTCATCAGTTGCCAGCATTGCACAGATGGAGCTTCTGAAAAAGAAAGATGGCTAATTGTTATTTATCTGTCTTTGCTATGCTTAGATTTTGTAGTATGGAGGAAAATTTTAAGTAGCACAAAATACCTCAGCAATGAGAACATGGAATTAATCTCTTTCTCTCCCCTACCAAGTCTCCAAACTATGATCAAATTGTACTGAAATTCAATGAATAAGCCTGGATAAGATACTCTTTTTCAGTTTGCCTATATCACAGAATACTTATAAAGATACCATGGGGGAAAACCACTATTGTTGGAAGAAGGGTGAGAGAAAAATATTAAAGTTGTAATCAGTAGAATTACTCATTAAGATGACTTGTGCATAAAAACAATGCCCACAGAACCAAGACTGGGAAATCATTTGTTGAGGGAGTTGGCAAAGATGTATATCACACATGTGGGTAGGATAAGATTTGCTGGGTTTTCCCCCATGTTCTGTTTAGAGTGAAGAATTTTATATTAGAAATTTACACTACAGTTGCATAATTTCCAGCTCAAAATGGAGGGAAATTGTACCACTGTTTTTTGGCAATTGGAAGAGATCCACAAAAGAGAATTTAAGGATTACTTGTGATCTTGAGGCAGTTTCACAGATTACATTGATTCCTCTCTAATCTTGTATGGTAGATTGTGATCATGTTTGTTATTTGCATCAGAAGATTTTTTTTTCCAGTTATTTTGCTATGTTATCATACAAATCCAGATGCATACAACAAAGCCTACAGGAAACATTTTATAATGCAAAGGCTTACTTACATATATGGGCTTCCTTTTGGGATTAACACATTTGTTCCATGAATTTATGATGTTATTTGACATGTTGATACGAAACCATTTATCAAACACATGTTGATAAATAGAAAAGTTGATACAGTGGATGGAGGCAACTTTTTCATGGTGCCCGCTCTATGTTAATATCGTAAAATAGTTTATCTCCATCTCATTCCTCAGCTTGAAGGCTTCTCTTGAAAACTTGTTCAAATGCTATTCAGAGTCATCTGTCAGCTGACTGAGAATATGCTTGTTTAAGAAAAAAAAGTGCCATTTATTGTGCCATTTATTATTTATAAGTGCATAAACATGATATGGTTATTTGTAAGGCTGAGAATACTCAGCAACTGTTTGCCATAATATTAGGTTTTTCTCTGTTATATTTTCAAGAAGACTAAAAGAGCTATTCTTCAATTTACAAGTCAGAGATATCTAGCTGAGGTTGCAGAATGGAATAAACCAAACCCAGGATAAATCACTGATAAGATTTTTCTCACTCTCCAGATGTGACGCTTTTTTAATATTATATCTGAAATGTATAAAATTTACTGGATCAAGAGACAAATATTTAATATAGGATGGTCTGTTTTGTACAGAATCAAAATCCATTTTGATAGACCACTAATTCTCTTGAATCCTGTACTGTATTCCCAAAAGCCTGAAATTCCTTGAAAATGTAACCTGGTTTTTTTCCAATAAGACAGGTAGTCCTTGACTTACAACCGTTCATTTAGGGACTATTCAAAGTTACAGTGGAACTGAAAAAAGTCACTTATGACCATTTTTCAGACTTGACCATTGCAGCATCCCTAATGGTCACGTGATCAAAATTCAGAAGCTTTGTCAACTGACTCATATTTATGATGGTTGCAGTGTCCCAGTGTCATGTGATCCACTTTTTGCAACCTTCCAATAAGCAAAGTCAATGGGGAAGCAGATTCACTTAACAATCATGTTACAAACTTCATAACTGAAATGATTTGCTTAACATCTGTGGCAGAAAGGTCATAAAATGGGGCAAAAATTCGCTTAATTGTCTCGATTAGCTACAGAAATTTTGGTCTGCGTTGTAGTTGTAAGTCGAGGATTACCTTTAATAGCAGTCTTCATCTTTTGGCAAAAGAAGTATCAGGACCAAGTAGAGAATAACTTATACCCATGATGGCAAACCTTTTCCATGTTAAGTGCCCAAAGTATGCACGCGTGTGCACACACACTCGGGTG